AAACATGATGTTTCATAGCAGGATCACACTACATGCCCACCATTTGCACTGGAATTGTTTGTTTTGCCCAGCAGCAGTAGCCGAGATAGATCAGATGGGGCCAAACACACTCTCTAGACCTCACCCATGACCTATGACATAAGCTGATGGCCAACACTGCACAATGGATCTTAGGTGAATCATCTGGAATCAAATCTATGACTGTTATTAGCACCATCCTCTCGACCAACAATTCCCCGACTTCAGGTGTGTCAAACTGGACTTCTGTGTGCACAGAATTGTATAAGTTGCTAAGAATCAGCTTACTGAAATTGTACCTTCCTGGGTCCACTTCCAAACATTCTGATTCACTAGATCTAGCGTGGGAGCCTGGAATTTGCATTTTTATAAACACCCTAGGTAATTCAGATGCACAGGCTAACCTTGGAGAAATGTCTGGCCGAGGCCGAAGCATCATGTCTTGGTCATTAAAAGAAAGTTCTGCTCCTTCTAGCTCAGCATAAAAGGAGAGACTGGGTATGACACCAAATCATTTCTTAATCTCACTGCATTCGGGATCCGCCGTTTACAGTGCTCTAACTGGCTTCCTCCTCTCTCAGGGATTGAGAAGACAGCTAGAAGGTAACAGTAATATGGCCCACCCCGCACACATCTATGTGGTAACAGCTCTTAAGGACCCATATAACTGCACTTAGCACACATTTCATTCTATGTCTCTTATCTATGGCCTTTTCAGTAGGCTCGTTAAGATTCCTAAGAGTTAGATATTCCAGTTAAATATAACAGCTAACATTTACTTAGGGCCAGATTTTACAAGTCCAGATTTTTACTTTAAATGCACTTTTTAATGGCCCTGCCCCCACCCCCATGAACACGCATAGACCCACATACACAAATTGTATTTACTCCGCAGGAATGTGTTAATTCTCAGCTGTATGCTTTGCTATGTACGAGATCCTATAAAAGGAGGGAGAAGGAGAAAGCGTGTTGGCCCCGTACGCAGTTACAGTCTAGTGTAGAAAACCAACCACACAAACAAGAATCAAGTAGCCATGTTTTAAGCAACATGCGCACATGTGCGAGATAAAAATAGAGTATAACCTTCACAAACGGAGGAACACTTGCATTTAAATATTGACTCTGTTGTTCTTACGATTTAATTCCTGGAAGTAAAGAGCTGGTTATTTAGCTAGACTAAAAGGAAACACAAGTGCCCTTTGCATTTGCCCCTTAATTCATGTAGAGTTACAGATTCTCTAACCTGGCCAGCCTTCGGCCTCAGACTTGTTCTCAACTGTCTCATAGGTACAGATAGATCTCTCTTCTCTACTAATGATAGAAAATGCTCGGAGGAATCATGTCTGATACTTCTTCTGTGTCTTCTCCTGGGCCTCGGTTATATTATGATAATCCACGTTCAGCCCCTACTGGGTCCCAGGCCCTATGCGATATGCTACAGTTGCAGAGCTAGCTTGAGATCCCTGCTCTCAAAGATTTGCCTTCGTTCACTGAACACAAACTTCTCCTGCACGTGATGGGCCCTGTCCTTGGAGCTCTGGGTCCAGAGATACGTAACACTCTCCCTCTGCACTTGAGTGAGGAAGGCAGACATGGGCATTGTGTGTCTCGGGCTGCTCACACAAAGGCCCACAAAGTGGGGGGCTTAAACGAGGGATGTGTATTGTCTCACGGTTCTGGAGGCCAGAAGTCTGAGATCAAGATGTCGACAGGGAGAATCTCTACCAAAAATCAGGAAGGGGAATCAGCTGTTTCCCTCTTACCTAGTTTCCAGGGGTTTGCTGGCCATCTTTGGCGCTCTGTGGCTTTGAGAAGTGAGTCTGATCTCTGCCCTCATCCTCACGTGGAGATCCCCCTGTGTGTCTAACTCAGTGGCCAAATGCCCCTTCTTTATAAGGATACTGGTCATATTGGATGAAGGGCCCACTCTGTTCCAATATGACCTCATCTTAACTAATTACAACTGCAATGACTCTATTTCCAAATAAGATCACATTCTGATGTATTCAGGGTTAGGATTTCTACCTATAAATTGGTGGTGGGGGGTGGGGTGCATAATTTAACCTCTCACACATGCAAACGACACGGCCTGGTCAATCCTTTAATAGGAGTGTATGGAAAGAGCTAGGAGCGTATCTGAGAGCACATGACATTGAGTTTAATGGGCATGAGGAAAAGCGTCAGAGAACATGGGACTTGAAGCCAAAGCTGGGGCAGACAATTCTCCAGGCAGGGAAATGCAAAAGAGCTTTTGAATAAAGGCACATCTACGAGAGCATGAAGCACTTGGGGAACTGCAGAAACTATTATGGGGTGAAATCTAAAAGACATCTGAAGGAGAGGTGGCAGACGAAGCAGGAAGGGGAGACAGAAGCCAAAGCGTGAAGGGCCCGGTCATCATACGTAGCCTCATCCAGATGCAAAGCCACGGGGGCTTTGTCGTATCTGCATGCTAGAAAGCTCACTCTGGCGGGAGTTTTGATTGTATCATAACACAGGTGGGCACTGCAATGGGGCCATGTCGGAGCCGAGAGACCAGCGAGGAGCCTATTTGCAAGAGTCTAGGCAAGAAATGTCGGGACTCTGGATGCATCCGAGAGCAGTGGGAATGGAAAGGTGGGATGGATTTACAGTGGGCGGCTTGAAACAATGTGGGGTTTCGGCAAACAGCGGCTGTGGATAATTTGGTTGTGGACTGAAGAAATATGGATGAGGAAGCCAGGGGTCAAGATGTGGAGAGTCAGAAGAGGCACAGAAGGGCAAGCAAGGCCCATTTCTGAGAGCAGAGAGAAGACGCTGAGGACAGTGGCATCTGACTGGTCAATCCTGCCCCTAGGACTTCACGTCTCCCACCCCAACCTCATGCAGACCTAACATCTGACTTCCACATACAAGTCTTGCCTTTGACCTTTCGAGGGCAGGAAAAACATACTTAGATAATCTCTAATCAAGTTAGAAATATTGTTCCCTAATAAACTATTTGGAAAGAAAGAAAGAAAGAAAGAAAGAAAGAAAGAAAGAAAGAAAGAACGAAAGAACGAACAAAAAGAAATATTGTTCCCTGAACTGTGGCCAGACAACAGAGTCTGCTAAGGAAGCATAACCACATGAGTAGAGGAGAATCGGAGTCGTAAGACGATGATGGCTTCGTGCCCATGTCCTTTGCCAGCCCAGAAAAATGCAAACCAGTCAGTGCCTGACTTCGCCCTCCCCTGGCCATGATGCCTAACCAGACACATCAGAAGCTGCAACATTTGGGGGCCCCTGGGTGGCTCAGTCAGTGAAGCGTCTGACTTTGGCTCAGGTCACGATCTCGCGGTCCGTGAGTTCAAGCTCCGCATCAAGCTCTTTGCTGACAGCTCAGAGCCCGGAACCTGCTTCTGATTCTGTGCCTCCCTCTCTTTCTGCCTCTCCCCGACTCTCTCTCGCTCTCTCTCAAAATTAAATAAACATTAAAACAGAGAAAAAGAAGTTGCAAAGTTTCTCAGAAACTGGGGACCAGGTGAAATTTGACTGTGAATAAAAAGATGGAGATCATTCAACAAGCCTTAGAGATACTCACGACCATACGCAGCAGGGTGAGGCAGGTGGCCGTTGTATCGTCTTGCACTTTCTCATGGGGACTTGGCTTTGAGGCCATGATGTGCTCCTAAAAGTGGTTCCCATCTGGCAGCCTCCTTTTCCACACTTTATGCCTTTTGGCCCGCTCATAAATTGTGTCTAACCTAACCCAGTGGACTACAGGAGCCAAGAAGTCTTCCTCTTTGTAGCAAACAAATATTTCCACTTATTAACCATGGACTGGGGGCTGTTCCGAGCACACAATCACCCCATCCGGCAGGTCCTATTATTACCTTTCAGTTACAGATGAGGGGATGGAGAAGACTGCAAGATCCCCCTCCCCAACTGAACAACAGGGGAAAGAAGGCTGATCTGAACCCACAAGTCAAAGGGTATTTGAGGAGTCCTAACTCCAGCAAAGGAAGGAAAGGGTTAAAGAGTAGGATTAACATACATGGGAAGCTTTGCTGTCTGGGCAGGCAGCTCAAGGCAAAGATGTATTTTCCTGAACATTCAGCAGGGTGGGGCCGCCTCCCAGATCAGAATTACACTTCAGGCTCCCCCCACCCCCGCCCCGGGTCATTAAATAGAGGAGCCAGAGGTTCAGGGCTGGCCTGTCTCCTCCCCCTCCCTCTTCCTCAAAAGGAAAATGAGGTGTGGGGGGGGGAGTATGAATTGCTTCACTAGCCATCAGGAGAGAACCTAACGTATGCCCTCCAGTGATTCATTTGGGCGGACCACTTTCACACCAAGCAAAATGCAAAAGTTCAGAGTGGGGTCAGCGGGAGGCCCCTCCCTCCTTGGGTGCGGGAGAAATTTCCTCTTTGTAAAGGACAAGCACAGTGGGAATCAAACTCCATCCAAACAGGAAATCGCCAAGATTCTAGGTAAAAGTAGTGCCTTATTTTTAAAGGACAAACTTTTTTATTCATTGAGTGGGTGTTTCCTGAGTGCCTACTAAGTGCCAGGCACCCGGCATGTAGTTGTAATGGACCTAGTCTGTGCCGTGTGGGAAAAGACAAAGAGGGAAAAGACAATGTACACACACACACACACACGCACACACACGCACACTCCACACCCATCTAGCAAATCTTACAAAAGAAAGACTTTCGGGGTATTTTTTTTTTCTAAAAATGAAAATAAAAGGTTGCAGCGCCACACACACACACACACACACACACACACACACACACACACGCACTGACTCCCCAAAGTGCCGGGACTGAGTTCTGAGCAGGGAAAGAGAGAGGCCCGGGGCGAGGGGGATGGGCGCGCCCGGCGGGCTGGGCGACAAGGTGCAGGGGCAGAGGCATCGGGAGTTGGCTGGCGAGCTTGCGCCAGAGGCAGGTGCCAGCTGCGAGTGGGCGGAGGGCCGGGCGCCGGGCCAGGCGGGGGAGGCCCGGCGTCACCTCTGCCTCTAGGAGTCGGGCGCGCAGACGAGCTCGCCCAGAGCAGCCGGGGGCACGGGCGTCCCCGCCGCCCGCAGAAGGAGCCGCGGGAGCAGTCGCAGCCGCCGCCCGGCGACAGCATCCTCTGGAGAGACGCCCCAGGCTCCGCAGCCGCCTTCCTCCGCCCCGAGGCGAGCGCCCCCGCCCGCTCCCCGCGCTCCTGCTCGCCGTCGCCCCCGGCCCCGCGCGGGGGGCAGCAGGCACCCGCGCCCCCGGCCCTTCCCTGCTGCGGGCTCCCGGGCCCGCGGCGCGGGGAGAGAAGGTGCCGGAAACAGGGGCCCGCAGGCACCATCCCCCGGTCTCCACTCGGCGCGGAGAAGGGACGCCCGGCCACACCGCGAGCCCCCGCGCCGCCGGTCCCCAAGTTCAGGGGCGACACCCCACAGGGAGCGGGGGCGCGATCCCGCCGCGGTGAGCACCCCGGCCCCATCGACCTCGGCCGGCCCTCGGCGCCCCGCGCCCGCCCGGCTCCCCGGAGACGCCCGCGCGCCCCGGCGGGGCCATGCCCGGGCTGCGCCGGGACCGCCTGCTGACCCTGCTGCTGCTGGGCGCGCTGCTCTCCGCCGACCTCTACTTCCACCTCTGGCCCCAGGTGCGGCGCCAGCTGCGGCCCCGGGGGCACCCGCGGGGCTGCCCGTGCGCCCGCCGCGCGCCCTCCGCGGCCCCGGCCCGCGCCGCCGCTTCCCCGGCCCCCCGCGCGGCCGCGCGCAACTTTTCCCGAGCCGGGCCGGGGACTGAGCCGCACGGCGGCCGCGGCTCCAAGCTGCAGGCCCTCTTCGCCCACCCGCTGTACCGCGTCCCGGAGGAGCCGCCGCTCCTCGGGCCGGAGGACTCGCTCCTGGCCAGCCAGGAGGCGCTGCGGTACTACCGGAGGAAGGTGGCCCGCTGGAACAGGTGAGGACCCCGGGCGCCACGCGCCCGCCGCGCGCACTGCCGGGCCCCGCCGCTCCCCCCGGGGCCGGGGCCCCGGCCCCGACTCCGGCCCGGCCCGGCCTGTCCCCGCCGCGGCTTCCCCCGGCGCTCCGGCCCCGCCCGGGCGGTGGGTGTGCCCTGCCCGGACTCCTGCAGCTGCCGCGGGCCGCAGAGCTCAGCCCCGAGTGCATTTCAGGGGGAGAAAAAGTTTCTGTGCCGCAGCACCGCGATGAAAGGCTCTGAGCGCCTCCCCTTGGGCTCCTTGGTCACCCCTGCGCCCCACTTGTGTTCCCTGGCCAGTTACCCCCCTCTTTCAGTCCTTGTCCTGATGTGGGAAGCTGCGGCTGGACTTGCATGATCGAGAATAGGTTCCCAAATAGAGCAACTCCGGAGCTGGTTCGGATTCCGCACTTTGCTTTAGACCCGGGTGCCTTCCAGAAAGCAGTGCGACTCCCTGAAAGCCCAGCTCATGCTCTTAACTTGCTCCTCGGCCCAGGTCAGAGACCACAAGAGGTCAGCTGGGGCAGAAAGTTAAGTGGTTAGTTCCCAGACCTGGTCAGCGATCGATTCTGTTTAAAACGCGGTTTGTCCCTCTGGTGAGTGCTAGAACCTGAATGTGGTTTTAGTAGTGTGATTTGAGTTGTTTCGGATCTGAGGCTTGATTCCTTCATGCACGAAGGAGATGAAAATCTACCTGGGAATTTTTAAAATCCAAAGCAAAATGCAGAGGGGGGATTAAAAACCCCAAACGTATTTAGGTTTAAATTAAGAAGCATATGTTCGTAAAAAAAAAAAAAAAAAAAAAAAAGGGGGGGGGGGGGGAGGTTTGGAGAAGGTGGGGTGGTGGGTGCGGAGATCCCCAGGTAATGACAGAAGACGTTCATATAAGTTAGAACTCTGTTTTGAAGTACAGACTTGTCTAAATATCACTCACATCCAGAGTTCACTTGTGCACCACACCCATCATTTTCCTTAACACAAGAGATTTCAAAACGAGATGTCATCGGATGGTTTGCGAGTCCCTGTGGAGGATGGGTAGACCGTAAATCTCGGTGGAAACTGAGTGCGAGCCCAGTTTAACTGTTTCCTCATTACTCTGTAGTGCAAAAATCGACTGTGGCTTGAGGAGACAGGACGTTCAGAAAGTAAAAAGACACGAAAATGGAGAGCCATTGGCTGACACCACTGTGGTGAATTTCAACTGCAACCCCAAGGCTGATAGTTTTATATTAGGAAGGAAGTGGTTTTCCATTTCATTGCTAATTGTGTGTAATAAAAAAAGCAGTCGGAGATGGCTTCTCAGACCCTGTCATTTTCAGCATTATTATTGCATCAATAATGCGGGAGTCCGGATCGATGGACGAGGAAATTTTGCCCTTAGAAAGTTGTCTGCACATCTGTTGAAGATTTGAGAATTGAGGGGACTTTGAGCAAAGTCATTTGCTTTTTTCTTTTTCCAAATGTCGACCCACAGTATTCACATTTCTGCTGCCTTCAAGTTCTTCATGTGACTTTGGTCCTGAAGGGAAAGTCCAGGGGAATACTTTGGACAGAAAAGCAAAAATCTCTCGCCAATCTGCCCTGCTATCGATTTGGAGCTTGATTTCTACGCCATTATGCGTCACAAAGACACATTTAGTGCCCAGAAATGATTTTGGTCGTTTAGCAGAGGATCGACCAATGAGGGCTTGTGACCTTGCTGTATTCGGAGGTAACAGGGTAGTTTGATGGGGTTGGTTGCATGTGACCGTTGTGATATTTATTTCCTTGAGCTCTCAAGTGAGGTTTGTGGCTGGAACAGGAAAGTGAGCCACACTCTCGAGCATTGAAAGTGGATCTCAGACGCAGAGCGCACCTACCTTCACCCGAACCATGTGGTAAATGTCAAGGCCATGGTATTAACAAGCAAATTGCATCGGTACTCACGGCAGGTTAAAGTCAGGACGTGAAAGACTCATTAGCCGGTGTGAATCTGAATCACGCACCGAGTTCTGTCGTGAGAGACAGTCCCTCATTACCTTAAGCGAGAGAGTGTCCTGATGAATATAAAGCCCGCATGCCTTTTCCAAGGTGCAGAGCCAAGGAAGTTTCCAGAGTTCGGTGCAGACAGATAATTAGAACAGACAGCAAAGGAAGAAACGGTGAATGACAGTGCTAATGGCTTATCTCTTGCACGGACCAGCCCTCCGCATGTGCAGTCACAACCACACCGATGTTTAAAAACAAGAGATTTATAGACATCCATGGAGGTCCCCGTGCCAATAACTACCTAACCTTAACCGCTATCCAAGCGCATGCAAGCCACCTGCCACACCGGGAGAGTTTCAGGTAGTAAGTAAGCCAAGTCAGCATTTTTCACCCCTTGTCCAGAAGAGACCGTTAGTCTGAGTGAATCGTTTTTTTGTTTTTTTTTTCTTACCACCACACTAATAAGTAGCGATGCGAAGTCGGAAGGTATCTTTCTACAAGGTGAGCTCATTGCCGATAAAAGGTAGACGATGACCTGGTCTCTTCCCCCCAGCACATCCCTTTCGGGGTTCAGTGGAAGCCGGAGCTCGTGCGTTGTTTTGAACGTCTCGGGTTTTCGATGAATATTTGTTCGTCGGATGTCAATATTTGGTGAAGTTGAAATGCGAAAGATACACCGGGTGTGGGGTGGGCTGTCTCGTGCCGTGGGACCCTCGGGCGCATTCCGCGCACCTCCCCAACCCGCTCCTCTCTCCCTCAAAACGTAAGCAAGCGTGGCACAACCCAAGTGAAAAAGGCAATCTGGGAAAAGGGTTTCTGTCAGGTGGTCGGTCGCTGATCACAGCCAGCGAGCCACCGCCGGGTTCCAGCAGGCATGATGACACAGCTGGCACCTGTCTTGAATAGTGAAAAGGACAGAGAACAAAGAGTGAGGGGAAGCTGCAGTCTTCACTACTTCAGGCCCTACACCAACCAGCAGAAGCCTTTTCCACTCAAAGGAAGGGATGGAAGGCGGGGCTTACCTGGCGCACAGGTAGCTGTTCACCTTCAGGCTGTCCTTGCCTCCCAGACGCTGGGCCTTCTGGGTTTGTGGGCCTGGTTCCTTCTCTGCCCACAAGCTACCCAAGCCAGACAATACGTGTCCTCTGACGTGTCAGAAGTGGCCCGGCCTTTTGCCCACAAATCTTTGGTTGGCTTCTCTGTAACTCTCTGGTCTTGACAGTCAAGGCCAAACAGGGTCATGCCCCCCCACCCCCCATGTCGCATCTCCCTCCCCCACCCCGTGCCAGAACTCCAGCAGCCACCACATAAATGCGAGCCCCCGGCTCCCCTCTCTCTGCTTTTCTTTCCTCCATGACGTTTCCTCAGGTATCAGGAAGGTTGTGTTTTCCCACAGTCACAGCGTCAGCAGTTCTTAGTCGCGCGCGTCTCTGTGTTTTCCCCACCATGGAGGCCCCTGTCTTTCCGTCTCCTCCTCCCTACTTGCTGTCCCCGAAAGCCTAGCCCCGAGTTTCTCTTTGAAAATCACAGCGAAGAGACCGGGCAGCTTTTCAAAACTGACAGTTGTTTAAGGGGAGTAAATTGGCTCCAGTTTTTCTGGGGGAAGCTTTGAGAAGATCCAGCAGCCGAGGCAGAGAGAGGAGAGAGGTGGGGGAGAAGGAGCCAGGAGAGATGAAGAAGAAGTGAGCTGGAAATGAGAACTGTCTGTTCGAAGAGGTTTTGAAGGCAGAGCCCCTTCCTGCCGTGGCGTCTATGGAATGAAACATATAATCTCTTTATTCTCACGCCGGCCGCTTCCCCGGCCTGTACCTCTTTGTCTCTTCCCTGCTTATCTCGTGCTGGCCCCAGACCATTGGGAGCATGGATTGATTGGGACCAGGCAGTTCAACTCACAAAGGCAGATAAAAGTCCAGGTTCCTACCTGGAGGGTGGCCATTTGCCTCTCTCCCAGAGTCAACAGGGCCTTGGCCCCTTGACCGATTAGCGATGCCAGGCTAAGAAAGGAAATGACCTCCTTTGGTTGGAAAATGGGCCTCAACCCGACCTGTGGGTGACTTCCATTTCTCTTTTCCAATTAGAGCTTTGCTTGACTGGTTTGGGAAGGGCTATTTCCGTGGTTTCCGCATCCCTGGACATGTGTGTAGCTGGAGGAAACATCTCCACTCTCCCTCGGGGTCACCGACTCCAAACAGATGGTTTCTGAGAGGACTAATCCAGAGGCCATCTTCGGGTCCCGTCTCCCTCATTCTAGAGTGCAGTCTTCGCTGTCGTTCCTGCAGCGAAGACTGAAACCAGGGAGGCTCTCCGTGTTGTTCGCCCGAGGAGGACAGGCACATCCTATGTCCAGTTATATCAAAATGAAGCCCCTTGGCCAAGGACTAGAGGCTGTTTGTCAGCTGTTCCTTTCTTCCCAGCCCCCAACACTCTTCCTTTCACCGCACGAGGTTCTCATCAGTCCTGGGAACTCAACTGGCACTATGCACACGCGAATCCCCCTTCCCGAAACTCGGAACAGACTTGATCAGGCCCAGGCACTCCACATACACTTGCTAACTTAGGCCTCATGGCTTCCTGAGAAGTAGACACGTGCGGTAGACAGAATTCCAAGGTGGCCCCATTAGATTCCCAGCCCTGGCGTACACACACCCTCTGCTCATTATTCTACCAAATGCTAATCCAGGTACTGCTGTCAAAGAATTGTACACGTTATTAAGGTCCCCGATGAGTTGACCTTGGGGTACACAGATCATCCAGGCGTGCCTGACCTAATCACGAGAGCCCTTTAAAAGCAGGGAGTTTTCTCTAGCTGATGGAAGTAGAAGGAAGTCAGAGATTCAAAGTATAAGGATCTAATCGGCCGTTGCTGACTTGAAGATGGAGGGGGCCACCTGGCAAGGGACATTTTGGAGTTAAATGGCCTACAGGTGACAGCCAGCAGGGAAACAGGGACATCAGTCCCGCAACCACAAGGAAGCAAATTCTGCCAACAACACGAATGAGTTCAGAAGCAGATT